CTTAATAAATAACTTTACATACGTTTAAAAAAACGGCCGTCTTAATTACCTTCGCATCGTTGTTGACAATCGCTTCTGCTGACAAAGCTGTTCTGGTTTCCGGCGAGGCCGCTGTACGTGAACATGACGCATGTTCCATTTAAAGAGTTGTAATACCAACGTATCAGGTTGAGGCTTCCGGTTCCGGTAGCCATTGGAAGTTGGCAGATGTTATCTACCGCTGAAATGGCGGTTTTGCAGACGAAATGCAAGTAAGACCTAAAGGTTTCCTTACCACCTGTACAGCAAATGGTGGTTTCCGTCGAACCTCCAATATGGCACCAGCTGCTGCTGTCGCATGAGCCTGGGTTCGAAGGACTGCAATATACCGGCTGATTGTTTGGGCCTATCTGAGGAGGGCCGGTGGAGCAGACTTTGTACAGCGCTGTAATAGCAGCAGCACAGTAAAACACATAAGCGGTCAGAATCCAGTTTACGCGTGCACGTCATTTCGCACTCCTCCTTCGACATAAAGTTGTTCGGGTTGCCCATTAGACCTCTGTAGGTGAAAGCAACACAGGAGCGCAGCTGAGAATCGTAGAACCACCGCATAAGCGCGTTGTCGCCTTCGCCCTCGTTCATACTCAAATCGCACACGTTTCCCCAAACTGTAATCATTGCTTGCTTTGGTTACATACTTAATTTCGAATTATTTTCTGCAAATATTACAATTTGCTTTGGGACAGCAGACTGTCGTTTCAATGAATGCTCCTCTGTGACACCAGAAACCAAAATTACAAATCTTCTCGTCGAAATTACACAACACCGTCTGCCCGTACGAGTTTTTCTGCGGCTCCCCATACTTGCATATGGTTTGAACGGCTGAAACAAGCAAACAATAGCAGCTTATTAAATGACGACATTACTAGAAGCTACGCTGAAAACCTACGAACTTGTCTTGACACTACAAGTCCTTACGTTGAAAAATGACATAAAAAATGTGTTTATTTTTTACGCAACTCGAAAGGTAGTCAATCACCAGATTGAGCAATACCGACGTTTCGGTCAAGGCCTGCTACAAGGTAAAGATGTAGATGAAGCTCTTCAGCCGTCTGCAGCTGACCGCTGTTGCACAATTAATGTCTCCTTGACGCACCTGTTTAGCCACTGTCTTCCTTTGTTGATGCCGATACAGTTGGATCATCGGAGCGCGTATCCTTCCTGCTTTACGAGCTGCAAATTCCAGGAGGTTTTTTTGCATTGTTTCTTGACGTGGCTGCTGGTGAACGCTTCGTTTTCTTGGGGGTGTTTCGTCATTATGTGTTGTTTCATGCTCTTCCGCGATGGTCCATCTTCACTAGCTAATGTTCACATCTGATGTTTGAGTGACAGTGTTCCCTGTTTTTCCTATGCAATACCTCAAGTAGCTGCATGATAATTTATATACCCAGTCCAGAGGGGTATCATTAAGAATTGAGCATTGCCAGCATGTTCAAGAAATGATTCTAGTGTCCTCGCGTTTAATTCAATTTTGTTTTCACCTTGTTTCCTCACGCTACTCTGTCTTATAATTGTTGTATTAAATATTAAAAAAATTCATAATTTCATAAGACTTTATTTGTTCTGTTCTCATTTCTGATATA